CTATCATTTCCTTGGATATGTGACCCAAACGTTTATGCCACAAGTTACCAGATCGTTCATTCAGTAAACCACGTTTAATACCAACATTATGATGCCAGGTTAAAAGAGTCTCAGCAAAAAGACTATCAAGCGTTAACTTATATAAACAATCACAAGGAATAGCGGAACCGATAAGATGATTTTGTTTAAACAAACTCAAATATTCATTTCCACCATTAAAGAAATACCAGCGAAATCAAGTTTTGATAAGAAAACTAAACTGCGAGAAATAGAAAGTACATAAAGTGTTTGAAATAAATCTAAATGGTGTCCAGTATCTAAAATCAAACGATAGGTTCCAATGGCTTCAAATGGAGCTTTGACTCGATTTCCCATGAGAACAAACTTTTCATTTAGATTTATGATCTGGATTGAAAGGAATCCCTGCATCGTATTAGTAACATAAGTGGTACATCCGGAATCAATCCACCAAGTATTATAAGGAACTTCTACCAAATTAGATTCGAAACATACATAAGAAATAATCTTAACTTTACTTTCAAACCATGCCTTACGTTTCAGGCAGTCCTTTTTATGGTGCCCAAGTTTGTGATAGAAATGGCACGAATCTTTCTTCTGTTCCTTATTGTGGATTTGGGCAGAAGACTCATTTATCTTTGGCGGTCCTTGCTTAATACCCCTTTCAGACCTTTTCTTATATTTCTTTCAGCTTCTTGATGACTTACGAGATGAACAAAATAAGTTCCTTGATTCTTAAGCCTTGTCTCCTCTTGCACGAGCATACTGTGCAATTAATTCACATTCTATTTATCTTTTAAGGTGTTATAGTTCATATGGAATGGATCATACTTAGAAGGCATGGAGTTGATTATAAAATGTACTAGAAAGTTCTCATCCACAGTCATCCCAAGAGTCTTAAGTCTAGCTGTAATGTTACTCATTTCAGTAATATGCTCATGCATAGTATGAGAACCATCAAATTTCATGGTGTTACCTATCAGTGTGATAGCAAGTGATTTGTTAGCTGTTTGGGAACTTTTTTTCCATAAACTTCTTATATTCCTTAGCAATCTCAGTTTTTGGAATAGTAAACTTGATATTCTTTACTAAGGTCATCCGTATAAACATTAGGTTTAATCTGTTAGACCTTCCCAAGACTTACGAAAAGACCTTTCATTAGCACTGCTCGCATCAGTAAGATCAGCAAGTTTCTCAACTTGAAGTGCCAAGTCCAAGTCCAAAACACCTAAGTTGAACTGGAATTTGGTCAAACCAGTTAGAGAAATTGAGCCAATTGAACAGTGGTACAAATGAAGCATGCGAATGCAGAGAAACGAGAACAGATACTGCAAAATATAAAATGCTCTAACATTAATGCTTTGAGTTTAGATTTAAACATTTAATTTAGATTTAGATAGCAATAAATGTATATCGTAGTTCTCCGTTAGGCGATAGTACGTTATACTATCATAAATAGACATAATGATGCTGATTTAGTTTCACTTAATTAGTAATTAAATATACTCTAATCAAACATGTTTGATATCTTTGGATATACAAAACACATCCGACCAAGTAAATCAATTAACCACGATCACATTCAAGATTAATAAAATTGACCGATCAACCTTTGGACGATCCATAAAAATTTTATAATCTATGAACATCAATATACTCTTGACAATAATCAAAATGTCATTTTCATTTATAAGCATCAAACTATCAAGAGAAATTGACATGAATACATTGTGTAATTTAGTATTTGAAATACCATAATGTTTGGCCACTTTAGTGACTAACAAACAACATTAATTACATTAATATAATATTTATCTAAGTGATTCATCAAACTTCAGAATAAAACACTTCTATCTCAATTACTAAATGTAAATTAATTATCACATAAATAAACAAAGCACGTTCCCTTTCAAATAAACAAGACATTAAGACATTTATTAAGGATGCATTTACGTGTACTGAATATTCAAGCAATAATTAGTAAGTATGACTAAGCCTAAGTCCATGTCCTTTTCTGACCATTTTAATGGAATTTGAAGCCTTTTGAAAATAAGAACAACAATAGTGCCGTATTCTGGTTCCATGACGCGTGAAACGAATTTAATGTATTCCAATTATTTGCAGTGATTAATAAGAAAATAAAGAGTCCAGAAATAAGTAAACATTTAATGGCTATGTACTAACCAACTATAAATATGATTAATTCCACCAAACAAGAATCTGCATTCGTGAATTTTTGACAATAATTAGCTTCATTAATTTCAACAAAACTTTGATCTATAAATTTATAAAAAATAATTAAGGATCAACAAGTGGAAAACATTAATCTTTAAAGGAAAATCAAGAATTTCATAACTTGGCTCTGATAACACATGTAAGTAATTAACCCTAATACCATGATCTTAAGAATTCATGATTTTCACATATTAATTAATTAATCAAAAAAACATACATTGATCCATGACAATAATTGAGAAATTTAAACCTGCAAAATAAGATAAACAAAAAAAAAACCGTTCTCTCTCTTTTTCCTCTCTGCAATTGAATGAATTAATTGATGATTTCACTCACATTTATAGACAGAGAGATGCAGCTTCTTATGGGCCATAAAACTATCCACTTTCCATCAAAGCGGAAGGTTATTAAAATGCCACTTGTCAAATGAGCCAATTGGATTTAAGAAATATAAATCACTTTAATTAATTATTTAATAATATTACATATGCCACAATTAATTGGTTTTACAATTTATGGTTATTCTAATCACTTTTCCCCTATGCTTGTGTGCAGGTGTTATTGTTGATGAGAAATCTCTCCATCAATTTACCTAGTCCTGATTTTGAGGATCGTGTAAGTGCTAATTTATTAATACTTCTTGCTCTTTTAGATTGTTCTGCAGCAAAAGGTTCACAATTCACAAGTTGCCATTTTTCCTTTTGAACTGTGCACAGACCATTGCATATATTATCATGCTCTACTTTGTCCTCGATAATGGCAAAGATTGAAGTTTAGAACTGTATTCTCTGTGTTCATTTCCAGCATGCCTCTGTGAGCATTATGTTTAGTTCAGGTGGGAGGTCGGACTGTTAATATAATTGGGTGGGACTTGTCTGATTGCTTACCATATGAACTTTTAAATGTACTCGCGCAGAGGAGTTTACTTTCATCCCACGAGGTTGAACCTGGGAAGGATAATGCCTATGTTGGAACTAATACCATACTTGGTAGTCAATCTCTGGATACAACTTAATTTGGTATGGAAATTGAACTACTATATGCTTTTGATCATTTTCCGTGTCTGTTTGTCATTTGCCCTAGTGGTGCTATTAGATCAAATAAAACGTCTTTGTTTAACGCAAGGTTGTGGTGGCGGATCCAGCATTTAGCGAGCACCCGTGGCCACGCATGCTGGATCCGCCAGAATGTTCAGTTGTCACTAGGAGCGGGTGTTGGCAGGCGTAGCAGTTGCAGAGAACCAGAGAGGAAATTGGAAGGGAAGAAGACGAGTTCCAAATTTTATTTTACTTTTTCTTTGGGCTGATGACAGAATAGGCCTCATTTTGTTTAAAAGATTAGGCCCAATGAGGAAATCAATGAATCAATCCAAGTATCTAACCCAAATCAACAACATATGGAAATGGTCCAAACTCCAAATCCAACAATCCAATCGAAGTCATAATTTGAAACCGGTAAAGATACAAATTGCAAAGCTCAAACCCTTCCATTTCCATTTGAAGCAATAGTAGCAGTTGCGCTTGCGATTTGCAAAGTGCGAGTTCGTGGACCATGTCATGGTGTGCGAAGCGTGAAATCAGAAAGTGCGACTCCGAGGCCCCAGCAAGCAACCTGCAGTTCAGTGGTGTCAGGTGAGTTAAATTGTTTTTGTTGTCTGTTGTATCGTTGATTTTTTGATTCGTACAACTGCAAACCCATCCATTTCCATGTTTTTGTTGTCTGTTTTATATGAAGTGCAAAATCAGAATCTCTTTTTATTTTGGGGATTTTTGTTGATTTGGGGATTTTGTTTTTGTTGGATTAGTTGGTTTAAGTTTTATTTACAATTTTATTACTGAAAAAAATTTGGGGGTCAAGGATTTGGATACTTTGTGGTTGCTTGAGTTAAATTCTTTCTTTAATGTATTCCTTTGCTCTGTTTTGGTGTTCAAATTCCCAGTATGGCATCTTGCTCCCCCAAGAACATAATCATATCCAAATGTGTTTAAGAGCTTGAATTGTTGATTTGTTGTCTCACTCATCTGTTGAGAGTTGAGTTGAGACTCTTGAGTGTTGTTTGATGCAATGACGTTTACTGTATAAGGGAAATTAGGACTTATTACTAAGAGTCTGAGAATTATGATTCAAGAATTGTCATTTTGTGGTCACGATAAATCAAACGAGTCTCTTAATAGAGGAAATCTAATCGAGTTACTAAACTAGTATACAACTCGTACATTTACATATATTTGAATAATTTTTAATATTATTTAATCAAATTTTAATGACGACAATATTATTACGATTGTCGACGGTCGACAGTCAAGTTCCACCCTAACTGAACTTAGATGTTGGATTCGCCTCTGGTTGTGGCCAAGATTTGGTGATGTTGACAAAACCTCTGGTTGTAAACACCGTTTCCTGTCGAGTTCCTGTTCACATACCTTGTACATACCAACCAAGCAAAATAAAAAAAAGAAAATTGATGCGGGGGAATGGAAATTGAAAAGACTGATCTGTAAATTCAAATTTTGATCATTTCCATTGTTCGTCCTTTCTAACCGATATGTAGTATTGTTCGTGGATTAGTCTTACACAGAAGAGTCCGTTTCAATTTATAATATACGTACTTTTAGGGAAAATTGCACAGAGGGTCCTAACCTTTGCAAGAAGTGCAAATTGGTCCTGAATCTTTATAAAGGTTCGAGACCTGTTTCCTTTTTCCACTTCTGTATTTGTTATGACATTTTCGAAAGTTTGTGCTTGCATTTACTAAATGATGGAGTTTGAGCTTTTATATATTTTTAGTACTTCTCATTGTGCCTTCCTCCGAAATCATAACAGACCCTTTAACAGAATAATTTAAAATTGCATTACCAGAATGAAATTTTGAACATAAAAAGAAAAAAGTCACTCAGCCTAGTGGATCACAGTTTTACTCTTGGTACCAGAAGGCAGACAAGATCATGAGCCCGAGGAGCAGTCAATCCAGGCCTTTCACTCATATCAACTCCACCAAGATGATCTCCATCAGACGGTGGTAATTTCCAGTCAAAGCATTGTACCATAGCCGCAAGCACGGTGTGCACTTCTTGCAAAGCTAGAAGCATTCCAGGACACCCTCTCCTTCCTGTGCCAAAAGGCAGGAGCTCAAAATGTTGCCCCTTAACATCTATCGTATCCTCGTTGCTGTCTTTACTGGGTTCTAGAAACCTCTCGGGACGGAACTCCAAAGGGTTATCCCAGTACTTGCGATTCCTACCAATGGACCAAATGTTAACGAAAAGCAAAGTTCCGGCTGGAATTGTATACCCTTTTATCTCACAGTCGGTTGTGGATTTTCTTGCAAGCATGGGAATCGGAGGGTGAAGGCGAAAAGTTTCCTTTATGATAGCTTGGATATAGGGTAGATTTGAGGCGTCTGATTCTTGTACCAATCTATGGGATCCAACAACCTCTTCTATCTCTTCTTGTGCTTTTTTGAGTACACTTGGATGGTTGATTAGCTCTGCTAATGCCCATTCAATGGCAATGGCTGTTGTGTCCGTGCCCGCAGTGAAGAAATCCTATTGAAAACAAGAAGATGATGAAATCATGAGTAGCATGCATTTAACTGAAAAGCAATAGAAGAAGAGTACTAATGCTATATAGGGCTTGTTTGGCATAGCTTTTACATCTTGTAGAAGAGGTTTTGGAGCTACGGTAATTTTTGTTTGAAAACCAATATTTAAAAACACTTTTCATTTCGAAGGAGTTTTTAGATGAAGTCACGTTGAACCAGCTTCCCAACTTCCTCTAAAAATGGCTTCCTCTAAAAGTTTTTTTGACCACCAAAAGCATTTTAACAAAATTAGTCAAATGAGATCCAAAAGCAGCTTTTGACCTCAAAAACTCCTTTTGACTTTTTAAAAGTAAAGCCAAACGGACCCCTAAATTCACTAAAGGTATAATCTCAATTTATGTGACGCTAATGTGATATTAAATGATAAGCACAATTAAATGAGGGCTAAATAATAGTTTTAGATTCACATTTTCAGAATTTTTTATAGCAAGGGATTAAGAGCCTCAAAGAACTAAAATAATTTCTACTCAATTTTGAATAGATTTTAAATGAAATTCAATTTTAGAATGGCCAAATTCTAAGAATTAACCATCTATATGAATTGTTTATTTATGGATTTGGTATCCCAACGAATCAATATCATACCGAAATAGTAAGAGGATCGTTACAGATAAATAGATCCATATCCTCTAAGTGAGTGAATGAAATTTAGTGCACGAAATATATTGTTTCGATCTCCCGGCAATCCAATTCTTGCAGTGAAGAATTTGAGGCATACAAGTTCAAATGGAAGTGCTTACCAAAATCAAAGCTTTGAGGTGGTCTCTCGTAAATTTCACTTCAGCATTGCCACTCTCCATAACGTCAAGTAATATGTCAAGAAAGTCCATCGCCTCCTTAGCGGCAGGAGCTCCACTGTCTGCCGTCCGAACTTCTCGATTCTGCCGCCGCACGCGTTCTCTGTCTGCGATAATTTTCTCTAACAAAGCATCGTATCTTCTCTGTATGTCCTCTGACCTCTTCTTTATTCCTTGAAAATCGAAGTTCTTGCATAACCATATCATATCCGAAGCATCAAATTCTCCAAAAATTTGTGTAACCTCCCGAATAACTGTCCGGGCCGTCGCCGCATCGCCTTCATTCTCCGAACACCTAATGGAAAAGTAAAATTCCATATCAATTATACTGGAAAATCATAATTAAAGCGAGGAACCCTAAAACTCGTTAATCCTAGTTCAAAATGTCGACTTTAAGATGAAACCATATATAATAGTCAGGTCTTCGATACCTAATGCTCAACATCATTTGGGAAATAACATTGCTCGTTAGACTAAGTAACTCTTCAGTGATATTAATGGGCTTCGAGCCAGAGCTGGACTTAGCCTTGTTCATCAGAAGCTGAACAAAACTGCTTATCTCTGTGGTTCTAACTGGCCGGAAATGGTTTAGATTCCGGGCTCCCAACAGCTCGTAAATACACAATTTCTTGATGAATTTCCAGTACGGCCCGTAAGGTGAGAAAGCAAAAGAAGAAGAATTATATGTGAGAATTTTAATGGCATTGGAATTCTTGCGGGCGGAGAAGGTGAGTTCGTTTATCTTAAGGAATTCTTTGGCTAGTTCAGCAGTGGAAACCACAACGCACGGCACCGAACCAAGGCGGAGCTGAATTAAGGGGCCGTAACGCACCGCCAGCTCGTGAAACGTTTTGTGGATTTTCGGTCCTAGAATGTAGAGGTGACCGATGATGGGGAGGGCTAAGGGGCTGGGAGGGGATTTCAGGCGGGGTTTTCGAGCTAATACTGTCCGGAGAATGAGACAGGAGAAAAAGAAGGTGGCACAGAGGACAATACCTACAAGCAGCATTTTTCTTTTACGAGAGCTGATGATCTGCGAAAGAAGAATTACATCTGCCTATTAATAGAAGAAATTATGCTACTTGTACAATTTATTTTACAATTTGGTTTATAATGTACGGGTTGGCAATCATCACATTCATTTATTTGAAAAATTGTTTTTAAAATTAATGACCAAAATTTTTTCAACACACTTATTATCAATCAAATTGTGCAAAAATATTGTACAAATAACTTTATTCTTTTATTTGTACGAAAATATTTGTACAGAAATCATACATATACGCACATAAAAGGATATCACCAAAAAAATCGAAACCCACATGTTTGTATGTATTCTGAAGGGCTGCCAGATGCCCTCCTTCTGCACCTCAATCAACACTCTAATAAAAATTCAAGTGTTACTGAAAGTCAATTATGTTAACTAACCACTTGTCCTTTCCTAATATGGGTGTCCAATGAAATTTTGCTTTGAATGAGGCTGCACCTGTACTTTGCAGGAGTGAGGCCCATATGTCTTTAAAAATAAAATTGTAGGGTCTACTCTCACATGTGTCCTATCTGACAAGGGCCTATGAAAGAGGTCCCCTTACTTGCAGACCGCACATTCTTGCTGTGAGCCTTGTAATCGATTCCACGACATAGAAAACCATGATAGCGTGTCATGGGCAGAGCGGTGAAATCGTCACCCTTGTCATCTATATGATATGTTATAGTGTACCTCGTGTTTTGCCTTTAGTTTTGTTTGATATTAATTAAAATTTCCAAATTAAAGTCAACAATTTATTTTAATCACATATTTAATAGGTATCACAATTTTTCAAACACACATTTCGTCAATTTCTATCGAAATTTACTAAAAAATTATTTTAATCTCCACCAAACAAGAATTTAATTAGTTTCTTCACATGGTATCTTTAATAAATTTCTAACTTGTCATGTCCCAATAATATGGACAAGGGCGGGCGCAAAGAATTTGAGTTAGGAGAAACAATTAAACCTTGTATAGATTGAAGACTTTGTTCTTAATTTTTGAATGATTCATATTTGACCCGAAAAAATACAAATTTACATTTAAAAAATATTTCTTTATTAATATTTTGCTCATCATTTTCATCTATTTGATCTTGAACAATCATTTTATTAATATTTTGGTCATAAAAAAAATACATACGTATGTTTTAAAAAATTGTGTATTTGATAAAGACAATCAATTCAAATAATCAAAAATAAAAATATAAAACAAATATTCAATACTAATAATCAGTAATAAACAGAATTCGTTAGATATAAGTTAAATTTTATATAATTAGTTTAGACATGTGCTATATATACAAATATGATAGAAGAAAATGCAAATTTACGTTCTAATTAGTTGAAAATTTGATTGAAAAGTGAAAATTTATAGTATATGTGATTAATTGTAAAGAAATTATAAACAAATTTTTAAAAAATTAGAGGGGTTAAGATTTTGATAAATAGCATGAGAGACAGAATAAGATAGAGCAATAAAAAAGAGAGAAGATTCAAATTTATTGTAATTTTGCCTCTATTTGGTAGGTATTAAAGTCTAACTTTTAGTAAATTTTGATAAAATTTTAAAAGTTAAGGAATCCATGAAATATGTTATTAAAATTAATTTTTAACTTTGATTTAAATTAAAATTTAGATTTTAATCGAGATTGAACAGTTTTTTTTTTTAAAAGGGGAAAATATCAAAAGTTGGGGGGTCAAGTGACCCCCAGGACACCCTTGGGTCTGCCCATAACTATGAGTCTATTCGGTAGTGATTATGAAAATTGATTTTTTAACTATTAGAAAGAAAAGTGAGTTCCACTTGTGAGTGAAAAAGTAAAAAATGACCGCTGACTTAGAAAGGTAACGATCAAAAACTAATTTTTTTGAAGTGAAAAATCAGAACCAAACGGGGGCTATGTTATCTACTTGATGCTGAAATATGATGGATCAATGCAACAACATGATATTATCATTTGATCCTTTCAACAAAGAATCATGTTTGATGTACAATGAATTTGACAACATACTACGTGACATGTTGTCATTGAACAATTTAAAAAACTATTCATCTTTTCAACGAACACTTTTTTGACAATTACAACATTGTCAACAATATTGTACAAACAAATTTATCCTTCAAGAAAAAATAAATATTTGGACAACAATAATTCCTAGTTTCAGCTCATTAATGTCTTGTTTCACCCTAGACAATGGTCGTTGGCAGTTGCATTTTCTGATTTACAGTATGCCAACTTAAAGATTGATTTTTTCTATATACATGCTCACCAAGCTCGATGGATAAAGAATTACAAATAAACGATAAAAAATGTGTGATTATGATTTCATAATAATATTGATTATTAATTCCTCGACTCTCAGCATTGTGGCGTGTCTCGTTGTTTACTACAAATTTTCCTCAGGTCCATTTGGACAATGATACTGTCCTGTTAATTATTCATTTTCAATAAGTTGCTTGCATTCGTTACAAGCGAGTGTGTTGATATGTTTTATGTCGACTAACATAATAAATTAAACAACAAACGTATAAGGTTTTGGCTATTTCTCTTAACAATATTAATTTTTTAAGATGAAATATAAATTTTAATAGAAATGAGTCATGTTATTTGTAATCTTAGTATCTATATGACACTAAGGTAATTGCCACATTCTCGTATAATTTTGATCTTCATTTTAATTCATTGAAGAATGTGATAGTAACCTACTGTCACATGGAGGACTACTGAGTGAGCACGACTCACGAATAACATGATCCAATTGAAATGTACGGATGAATGGAGGACACGGTGTTCACTATTTTTGAGTGGATGGTATACAATCCATTTCTTTATGATGACAATTATGATCGAGGTCGATATAAATATTCTCACCTATATTTTCCCACATTAATTGGTGAGGTTGTCCTTTTGAACCTTCTAGCTTTATTTGTTATGTGAGTGAAAAAATAATTGGTAGGCACGAGTACACGACATTCATAACTTTCATAGTTTCCCACTGCATTTATTGAAGTGGTCCAATTGGACAATGTTCAACACTAATTGTTCAGCATGGTAAGTAATAACTACATTCAAAATTGATAGGGAAATATCACCTCATCATTTTATTCTATTTCTGCAATGGCTTAGATCCCAGCCAAAGTTTTAGGTGGAGTCTAAGTTTTGTAATGATTTAGGATTTAAGATTGGATAACTCGAACATATGAGTTTGAGTCGTGCTTCTAATCAAACTTATGAACAAGATTGATGAAGGCACCCAATGCCCTGAAACTATTCAAGAACGTTATATTCATCTGTTTCAATTTTAGTAATAGAACTTGGGTTTTCAACTTTGCAAATATGTAGATAAGATGGAAGATAATAGTGCGATTGCTTAGAATCATTCCTTATTATCTCCAACGTGCAATCTCAAGCTTTTCATGATCTATCATAATCATTATTCCGTATGTGTTCTTCATGTCCATTACTATGTTGTCGGTATATTTGTTCGCTACAGCTATAAACTTGCACTCGATACAACTGACAATTACTGTATAGGTGGTTTGTCAACCATCACCCAAAACTAGTTTTATCAAGCACACGTTTTTTTTTTCGTTTTTTTTTTTTATTTTGAACGTTCTAGTTGAATGCTCTTAATCTCCAGTTGCATCTGTCTAGGCATTTCAAAACGTATTCACTCTTATCTAATTTGTAAACGCTGAACTAAAATCTTAATTGGATGGCATCAAATTCACAATTTCTTTTATTGGGGAGTACGTCAAATTCTATAACCCAAATATTTGTCTGAATAAGTCACAAGTTCAGTATATAGTATACACCTTCTAATAAAACCGAGATAATCAACTACTGGATCCCTAATTCACTGGTGTCATTTCTCGAAGAGAAAAATTTATAACTAAAAGGTTAAGTATTACCCATTTCAAAATTAAAAACAAAGGTTTCAAATTTCAAAAATCATATATTTATTAAAATTTATTTATTATTTAATTGTATATTTTATTAATTAAATATATTAAGATTGCAGATCTATACAATTTGGTCACAAATTAACGGTTTAGTTACTCATATATTATTTTTCGGTTACAAATCAAAATTTTTATATGTCGCAAATTATTTTATGGTCACAATTCAAAATTTTTATAGATCATAATTTGTTAACCAATCACAAATCAAAAATTTATAAGTCAAAATTTATTTATCGGTCACAAATTACAAATATTATAAGTCACAATTTATTATACGTCACAAATTATCAAATTATCATACACAAATTAACAAATTTTTATGTTACACATTATTTATTGGTACAATTTATATTTTTCATTGGTTACATATTGTTTATTATGTCACGCATTAACCAATTTATTGATCACAATCAACCAAATCATTTGTAATCATCACCAACACTTGTTACTACTGTCTCGCCACTGTCACTAGTCGCGTCGCCACAAAAACTACGGCCTCGAGAACCATCACCCCCACCACAATCACAACCACAACCATCACCACCACGACCATCACCTCCACCATCGCCAAATGCACCGCTAAATCTATCTCCTACCAACTCTAGATCCACCATCAGCATCACCAGAACCATTTTCGCAATCTCCTTACAGCAAAATCATTATCTTAAAATCCACAACCAACCCTACCATTACCACCCCCAACCTACCACTCCACAACCACAATCCTCCATCAAAAAAATCTCCAAATCTGTCGTCGAGCACTATTGTCGTTGCCACTACATCACCTCCCGAAAACTGACATCTTCCAACACCACTATTAACAAACTACCATTTTGAACTTCAAAACCACAAAAAATTTACAAATTGAAAACAAGCAAATCACCAACCAACAATCAAAACAACCACAAAACTCCAACTAAGTAGATTATATCGAAGGAGGAAGAAATCACCCCCAAAAAACTTGAAACCCCCTCAGTAACTTTTCTATTATGCGCAGGTAGATACATATGTATGAAAGGAGAGGTGAGGTGATGGGGTTGAGCAACCATG